GCTTTGCGAAGCCCTTCGCCTCCGGCTAACCCCGCCCCAGCAAGGCAAAAGCAGCCGCCCGCAGCCTTCCCACCGGCGAGGCGAGGCTGGCAGGGAAACCTTCACCCTCCTGGCAATTAAACCACAACGAAATAGACGCGGAAAAAAGGGGGGAGCCCTGGAAAAGGCTGGGAGGAGAGAGGGCAGGAGGAGAGCGGTCCTCCAGGGCCGCGCCGGTGCATAACTTGGGCTGCCCGGGGAGAAACTTCGGAGGAGGTTTTTCCTTCCAGAGCAAGGAGCGGGCCCGGGGAAGGGCTGAGCCCCGGGCTCCGGCCGCGCGGGGGGAGCCTCTCCCAGCCCGGGGAGGGGAGCCGGCACAGCCCCGGTGCTGCTGGAGGTGGAAAAGCAAAGCCCGGACACCGTCTGGAGGGACAACGCGAGGAAGAAGACATGTTACGGGTCCAAAAATAAAAATAATTTTTAAAAAAGGAGGAAAAAAAAAGGCGAAGAGAGGGAAACTCTCGAGATCTCGGGCAATCGAGCGAATGACAAGCTGCAGCGCGGTGGGCTCCTTCCCCCGATAACGAAGCTGGGGCTCCCGGGGCCGGGGGCTGCGGCCGGCGGGGCTCGGGGGGCTGCTGGTGGCTCCTGCCCGGGGGGGACCACAGCCGCGGCTCTGGTGAAGGATGCAGAAAGGTGCCCCGCCGCCCCAGAGGGGTTTGCATTTATTTCCGTGCTGGAGCAGGTCCCGTCCGGGGCTGCGGGCTCTTGTCCCCACCCAGGTCCCCACCTCGACTTGGCCACGAACTCCGCAGGTTCCTCCTGCGAAGGGCTGCACTTACCCGAGGTGGTGAGAAAGTAAGGGTGGTGGTGATGCTCCGGCTTGTGCAGGGCAGGGTGCGGGTGAGGCGCCAGGAGGGTCGGGGTTGGCATCAGGGGGTACCCATAGTCCAAGAGGGGGACGCGGGAGGCCAAGGAGCCGGGAAAGTGCTCGGGGGGCACCTCCCGCAAGGGCTTGGGCTTGTGCAGGAGAATATCCTCGATGAAGAAGGAGGTGGGCCTGGGCGCCGAGACGGGGTGCACGGGCGAGGTGAAGTTGAGGTTCATTTCGGTTGTCCCCCGCCTCGGGCAGCGGGGAAGGGAGCGAGCCGGGCTGAGCGCTGGCTGCCGGAGGAGCGAGGGAGGCCGGCTGCACCTCCCGGGGCCGAAGATAATAAGTAAAAATAACGATAATAAATAAATAACAATTTAAAAAAAAAACCCGGAGCGAAAATAAATAATAATAATTTAAAAAAAATATTCCCGCAGCCAGAAATAAACTGGAAGAGCCGGGGGATGCGAGGCGGGTGGGCTTGCGCTGCGCG